TCTCAAAGACTTCCACGAGACCGGCGCCCATGGCTTCCTCCAACACCCAGTTGAACTCCAAACCGTAAAACTCCTTCCATCGTTTGGTCCTCCCCGGCAGCACGCCGGCGAATTCTCCCCTGGCCCTCCTTGCGAGGCGTGCCTCGTCACGGGCTACGCCACCCTCCCACCGCTCCCGGAGCATAGACACGGGCATCTCCCTAAATTGCGATTTGGACAGGAGATGGGCGAGGTGCTCCACAGCGGCGGCGGTCAGTTTTAGAAACGACCCGTTCCCGGGCACCGCGATGGTGAATTCGGCCCCCGAATATGATGACGCGTCGGCGGTGCCGCCGCCGCGGGATAGACGCGGCGCCCCTCCCCCACCACCCGCGGCGTGTATTCCTCCTTGTCCGCCCACGGCATCGAAGCTTCCGGATGCTGCGCGGGAGACTGCCTGTATGCTCATCAAGCTACCGCGGTCTTCAGGGCGCAAGTGTAAATTCATTAAAGGTGTATTTACGTGCTGCGGATGTATACTGGATGTAAGAAACCCAGCCCGCACCAGGGCATCGGCCTGTTTATGGCCGCCGCAAGCCAGTCGCGGCATCGTCTGCGCCAGCGGGTTCTCTCTGAGGAACTTGACATAGGCGGACCTCGCGTCGTCGTCCAGCTCTGCCGATTTTGCAATCATGTCTTCCAGCTCGGAAGTTTGGATCAGAGCCTCGCCCAGGCCGCCGCGGCGTTGCACGTAGATCTTGCGCAGCGCTCCGCCGCGCTGCAACTCGGCGACCTCGCGCTCCACTGCCGTAGGCGAGGCGAGGAGCGCGTGGAGATGCGATGTTGTCACTATGCCCGGCATGGCTCTGCGGTAATTGAGCACCTCGGCGATGCGCGTGGAGTTCATGCCGGCCGCCTCCGTGGGGACGGGGCCGAACATGCGGCTGCGGGTGTACTTTATGGCCTGGACGACGTCGCGCAGCGACATGTCCGTCGCCAGCGCCGCGACGAGCCCTGCATCGTCGAGCCTGTCGTGGAAGAAGTCATCGTCGTAGCCGCCGTCGTCATCTTGTACGTCTGATGGGGTAGTGGTATTCCTCTTGGCGTTGCTGCTGCTGCCCCCGGCGGACTTGCGGGGGCTACTCGTCCCGCTATTCTTCCGTGGCGAAGCTGATGGCTTCGGCTTTGGTTTTGGCTTTTTTATTCGGCCGCCGCTCAGTATTGATCGCAAGCTCATGTTCTATTGGTTTTTTTTTTCCCTTTTTGTACTCTTCTTCTTCTTCTTCTCTAGGTGTGTTCCCTAGCGTAATTCGGAAAATGACAGCGTCGCAGGAAAATGGGAGAAGAGATAATTAAGGTTGAGGATTCGTACGGATGGCCTGGGGTGTGTAGTGTGAACGTGGGATTTCCGGTACGTCAAAGTCCGGGCGGCTCCACTCCTGCTTTTATGCCCGTTGACGGATTGACGCACGTACGCCGCCGCGCCCTTCCGGGTGTAGAATTCGGGTGCAGGACCCTTATTTATTTATTTTCGTCCTTCCTTCCTTGGGCTGGTATTAGTGGTGGCGAATCCGACGACGAGGTGCCGCGTTTTAGTTTCTGCGTGAGATTCTTCTTCGATCAAGAGGGGAAGTATTATTAATCAGCAGTCACGGTATAAGTAGGTGCAACTCGGGCCCTCGCCAAGAAGCTGTCAATATGCGTGATTGAGAGAAAAAAAAAGACAACGAGGCTGACCGGTCCGTGGCCTTTTGGTTATTCTGCCTGGAATTTGTTTTATTCTGCCCAGAATAGGGGGTGAGGTTATGTCAAGTTCCGATCCGTCTGTTCTTCTTTCGGCTTTCGGCTTCCTTGTATTTGGTTCGGCTATATTGGCGAAGAACCGAAAAGGTATCGGAGAAGAAGATGATGACAGGTGGGATGTTTCTCCTTCCCTCGCATTATTACACAAAGCTTAAATTTGAAGAGAATAGTTCTAGAACAGAGGGTTGGGATGGAAACTACGAAAGGACGTCCATAGAGGTTCGCGCATACTAGAAGGTACCTCTCACACCCAAGAGCATTGACTTTGGGACGAACATCAAACCCGAAGCTTGGCACTCTTTGCTCGATTTTATCCCCTGCGTGCGCTTGCGAGTTGGGAATCGCAGCGCAGTTTCTTGACTTCATCCTGTTGGGAATCAGACTTTTTCCGGCAGCGTTGAGCTGGTCGACGTCGGAAATTTGAACGTTGTCTTCAATGGAGGGTTGCTGGTGAAGGCGCATTCAACTTTCCTTGTGAAGTATCATTAGTCCGGCCAGTGTTGCAACTCAGATATGAGCGCATGAGACTCGAAAAGAGAGTCTCGCCGTTATGCCGGGCCGAACTTGCCGCTCTACATCCGATATGATAAAAAAACGTCCGTCTCTGCTCTCTTTCGTCCCCTTTTCTGGTTTGCTCCATCCATCCTAGTTCAGGTGGCACCGTCATTTGATAATGTGTTATCGCGGTGAATGCTATATCGTCAGAATCCGGCCCCCATGTTGCACGCATTAATTTCCCAAAATTCAGGCAGAGCCAGACTTCGGCACGGCATTGATGTTGGACGGCGGTGACATCGGGATGTAACGCAATGAGTTTGCCTAAAAGGAGGATGTTCATCAGCCAAAAGGGGGCAGGTTCATCCGAAGTCTTTTCTTGCGAAAAGAAGCTATAGTGAATGGTTAAAATGGCGGCAACGATTTGATCTCCCCGACGACGACGTGTCTTTGCGTTGCAATGATCTCTAAGGGTCCCGTATTCGTCGCGAACCTACAATACAGGGTGGGCCTTGATACGTTCCCGCGACTTGCTTGCTACATGTTTCTCGATATCGCCGCCAGAGCTGTTGCACATTCTGCTGCGCTTGAGTATCCCCCTATACCGTGCCCAACATCCCGGAGCTACGTACCGGGTAATAAATGAGTTCTACAGCGACAAAGCCGTTACGCTCCCATCCGGTTCGATTCCTCAACGACCCTTCACTGTCTAAGACATAGGACTAGGTTCTAGCAAGTCGGTTGCCCACCCTACGTAGAGTTCAAAGCCAGAATAGTACAGTCTACCAGCGCATCCGAAGCTGCCGACGTTGGAGCCTCCCGTTTTCGACATTTGATCTCCGTCCAGTGTCGCAGAAGTCAATTACTAGATATAATCCTAAGAGTGCTTCATCGCCCGCCTCCACCGACCCCTTCGCCTCTGACATTCATCATCCTTCCACCCTCATGTGGTCGTGTTATCGACGACGGCGACTGCTGCTTATCTCTGGCTCACCATAAAGCAAGTCTTTGGCTTCTTTGGCTGTCTTGTGCGGCTCAGACTACTAAAAGTCAAACTTTCTGTTTCAAAGAGTTCTCCACTACCGAGCATAGCCCTCGAGTGTTGAAGTATCGGCCGTGCTCACTGCAAGATGGGAGGTATGCTACCCTCTTCCCTCTAATATTTTGACCATTTAAGGTCAACGATTATCGAGCTCTGGGGCTAGGACACGGAGGTCGTAACATGGTTGCAGAGAGGCAGAAGCCCGCCCGGACCTCGACTCTCCTGACGTACCTTGGTTATGGCTCGACCAAGAAACCTGCCACTTTCCTCGGTGAGTATGATAGTTCGAGATCACTAGCTCGTCGACATCATTTCCAAGCAAAAGGGTCAACAGCTCCAGCCCATCCATATGTCATTTATGTGTCACCTCACGAAGTCGTCGGAGCTCGATGAAAGGTTACGACTCTGTAAAGGTATCACGTTCGAGCTCCCTGATAGCCTCGCTTTCTACTGCGAGGAAAGTCACATTGTTGCTGGTCAGATTGCAGCATATGCCTGAAATTTGGCTCCTCGTAGCTGGGAACATAGCCCAGCTACTGATATATACCGGGGGCCGAGTACCTACCTCGCGGATACCTACGTCTTAAGGTACGTAGCCATCAGACTCGAGGCTCATATGAAACTCATAGATAGCGACTACGCTGTCTGTCTTTTGAAATATTGTCTCTTGCAAGAACATCTCGACTCCCACGAGAGTAGTCTCTCTGCGAGAAGGATCGAGATGTCTTCTCCAAGGTCTTCAACATATGTATAACGGAACTCCTGGAATCTGTCCAGTGTGATCCGATAACCGAGTTCTCCATTTGATACCTTTACACGACCACTAGATTCGGTGTCGATTCTACTCAGCGGCAAGCGATGTCTGATTCATACTTATACCCAAAAAATCTTGGCCAGCTTTCATGCCACGTCCCGTTGTTTCACGACACCTCTAATCTTTCCTGTGCTGGTGATATTGGCTCTTGGGTGCCTTACTATCCGGTAACATTGAATGCCACAGAATGACCGGGCGTTTCCGCTGCTCTATTACCGGTCCTCAACATTTCAACCAGGAGACTTCCAGAGACAAATCCCTCGGAGGTACTTCCTGGTGATTTAGGGGTCGGAGTGACAACGTCAACCTCGACAGACCAGACAACGCGAGGATACGCGTGTGATTCCTGACTGCACAGAAGGTATCACATGATCTTGCGCAGGCCAAGAGTGAGTTCATCCTTACGAGCCATCGAGGCACTGGTAGCTCCCAGGTCCCAGCTCCTAAGATGAGGCAAGCTTCTATTGAGAGAGACGAACATGGATACCGGAGATGGCTTCCTTCCGCTTCTTCTTCAGCGTTGCGGTCTCGCCAACTTTCTACGGGAATCCTCAATTAGAATTTAGGATACGCAGTAACGCCGGGCGACACTGGAAACGACTTTTACCCAGCGGGTGTAGAGTACCAGATAACCCGTCCACAGAAACAACCAAACAAGTCTCTTTACTCGGGATTCACAGGTGTCCACCTCCCGCGTCTGCCTGATAGGAAAAGGGGACTCCAACTCACTCCCAGAAAAGCGCGCCAAACTCTAGCTTGCGGTTCTTCCAAACGGGACACAAAAGCTAATCATACAAAAAGCCTCAAGGGCCATACAATTCCCCTTTCCCAAAGTACATCTTGCAATCAAGGTTACGGAGCCGGGCATGTTATACACACTAGACGTCAGACTCAACATAACAATGGAAACTCAATACGAGGAAGTCCAGAAGCCGCCGTTCTATGAGACCAACCTAGAAGAATGCAGGAATGCGGGCCAAAATAGCACATCATCAATATCACTACAGCCACCGAAAATAAACAGCGAGCGATGCAAGAGAAAGAAAAAAAAAGAGCACACGACACAAAAACATGCCCCCCGAGACAAAAACAAACCACAATTTGGACGGGAATCAAAGGGTCTCAGAGACCCCGGCAAAACGTACCAAGACATCGTCTCTTCCTGACTCGATTCTTTCTCCATCTGCTTCTTATCAATTTGTCACTGCTCATCCAACAGCCCGTAGGACAAGGACAAGGACACAAGAGCAAACTTAAGGGCACAAGACAAGTGATTCTCTTGTTGATGTCAAAGGTTTTTTGCTTTTTCTGTAAGCACAGAGGGAGGAGTATTTCGCGCTCTGCGATGCCTGATGTCTAGGTAAGTAGGTAGGTAGGTACTCCAAAAAGGGAGTAAAAGCTATAAACAACAAGAAGTATGTAAAATAGCACAACCTTCGCTAACGGGAAGTCCAAAATCAATGTACCGGGAAAAATAAAGACACCCCAAACCCTTTTACACAACCTTCTCTACTTTTTTAGTATCCTGACAACTCCAACGACGTAGAAAAAGAAATAGGTAGAGTATCTCGATAAATCGCGCTTGGTGATCGCGTGAGAGATACTTCGTCCGTAAGGTGCCTAGCCGGCAGTGGTTAAGATGTACGAAGTGATGGAGGACATCCGCTCACTCGTCAACTTCAACGAAACCCTCAACAATTCCTGTGCAACATCAGGCTGGTCCTTCTGCAGCCGTTGCCATCCCTCTTTGTCCATCCGCCAGGCGACGCAGTCCCTATCAACCGTCACCGTGGCCGTCCGGTCCGTCTCCGAGAAGAAGGGCAGCTCGCCGCACGTCGTGCCCGCCACGATGCTCTCTGTAAGCTTGCCTTGCGGCATGTCGTAATCGGCGCGGAGGATGCCCTTCTCCACCAGGTAGAAACCCTTGGCGGGCTCGCCCCTCGTGAACAGAACTGTGCCGGCCTGATATTCCATCCGTGAGAAGTATCCAACTGCCCGGAACCAGAAGTCTTCGTTCCTCTCGCTCAAGCCCTGGAAGATCTGCAGCATCAACCGCAGAGGCTCCTTAAAGCTCTGCCACCTCTTCGTGCCCGAGGACTCTGTGTTCGCCAGCGCGTTTCTGGCAGCTTCATGCAGATGGTTGCGTCTTGGTGAGTTGATGACCAAATCGAACGATCCCCGATCTGGCTTCGAAGGGACGTCAAGACTCGCTGTTGGTGCGTGACGAGAGCCATTGTGGAGCGCTTCCTGGCTTGTGTAAAGAGTCTTGAGCAACTCGTTCTCACAGCTCTCCAGAGCCGAGTTGAGATCGGGAAGCAATGTCACTTCGATGCTTTCATTGTCCTCGTTACCCAGTCCCATGGCCCGCAAGTTGCGGCCAACCTCACTTTCCGCGTCCTTTCCACTCAACACCATGACGATGCCCTTGTTGTCGAGTAACCTGCTGATAGTATTGAAAGCTTCACCAGCGGAGTAATCGAGACCTGTGACGTGGTACAGGTCGAGAACGAGATATTTGATGGGTCTCTCTGCAAAGGCACTGTCGTCGATGAGGGCCCGGATCTTCTCTTCTACGCTGACGACGGTGCCGAAAAAGAGGAAGCCAGTGAGCTTTACGATGTAGATTTGCCGACGAACTTCCTGCAAGTAGTGGTGCTGCGAAGGATTTCTGCGTACGGTTGAGCCGACGATTTCGCCTGTATAGCTTGCTCGTACGGCAGATACTCTCGAGGTCTGGATGATTAGTGACGCAAAGGCGAGGATAATGCCCACACCAATGCCAATGACGAAATCGTAAATGCCCATTACCAGGACGATTACAATCACCTAGTTAGACAATTAGAAAAGACTAGTCAAAGACAAACAACAAAACATACCGTCAAATATTCGGCCAGTTTCAGCTTCTTCCTCGGAAGCCACACGGCTTCAAGAAGAAGCTCAAAGCCAAGGTCGAAGATAAGAGTACCGACCATCATAATAGGGATAAAGCCAATGATCTTCGGGCCAATCACCATGACACCAAAGGTCAAGGCTGCTAGCATGACGCCAGCAAGCCGACTGTCTCCGCCAGAACGCATGAAAAACACGGTATTGGCGTAGACAAGATAGTTTTGAATACTACCGCATAGGCCGGAGATGAAGTTGGAGTAGCCGTGCAACTTCAGCTCACGGTCGAGGTCAGCATTGTCCTCACCAGTTTGTAGGGCCAGGGCCGGAACATTGATGGGAACGTGGAGGATGCCGAAAAAGGTGAGTGCCAACATGGCGGGAATGCACTCCAACACGGCATCCCACTCGACCAGGTTGAATTCTAGGGTTGTACATTAGCAATAGTTAGAAACGTGAGGCATGGTCCGCTCACTGTATAACGTATAGAAGTACCACCAGGGCTCGTCGGCAGGTGGCCCTTCAAAAATCCAGCCATGATCTCGGAGAGAATCAGGCTCCAGCGCATCCAGAGAGAACACAAAGAAATAGAAGACAATCGGAATGGTGATGATGTACAGCGGCAAGAAGTACTTAGAGGCACCTCTTGTCTGACTGTAGAAAAGGACAATGGCCAGCAAGAGGGGTATGAGCCAGAGAAGTACTGTGTCGGACTGGAAGAGCTTGTGGAGGGTGTCCATGTCGTATTCCAGACTGCCATCCATTCGTGCAGAAACTTCGAATCCCGTGGCAACCAGGAACCAGCCGACACCTCCAATGCAGCCGATTAGGATGTGCCTCGGGATGAAACCAACCATGTAGCCGAAGTTGAACTTGCCCATGAGATAGAACACTGCGCCTGTCATCATGGAACTGATAGCATAGGTGACAATCGTCGTTGCGATTACAGCGTCGGGTTGATCTTCGCCAATATGGTCCGTAATTGTTTGGGCCATGTTATGGAAAAAGGGTACGACCTCGATCTGCGGAAGGGTCAGCGATGGCCGTATTACATGATCTGAGCAAAACTCACCAATTCGGAGCCGACACCTCCCTTGAAAATACTACCAGTTGAGAAGGTCAACTGAGAAACAATGGTGCTAACATAGAAAATGGAGATGCCCGCTGAGCCCAGACCAGCAAAGATGGGCTTGCCGAGGGGGAATAAAATCATGCCTAGTCCAGTTAGAACAAACGCCCTGGTTTTGCAGACCATTTCAAGAGAGGAGCATACCGTAAGATAGGGCATCAAGCACATTGAGCAGCAATCCGACAATGACGGCCGGCAAGCAAGATACTGGGGCCACCACAGCATTCTGCCATAACGCTTGGCGGTCCCATGCTTTGGGACTCGTCGCAATCTGGTACCCATGAACGATGCGCTCCTCGACGTTCACGGTGAGGTCCTTCAGACCTCCCAGCCACCGCTTCTTAGGTCGCTGTTTCTGTCCTTCCACATCGACTTCGGTGCTGGCTCCGCTCGTGTTGTAGCTCTCGAGACTATCAGACGATAACCTGGGGATCAGGGGAGTGCGCTCGGTAGGCTGCCTCACAACGATCCTCGCCGGCTGCTGCGCCTCTCGCTCCTGTCTCTCCGCAGAGGGCGCTCGCTTCGGTCCGGGGCTCGATGGTTCCAATGGCCCGGAATGGGGCTCAGGTGACGGGTCTCGGTGCGACTGAGGAGGTGACTTCTTGAGTAGGTTTGTCAAGATTGAGGGGCCGTCCTCTGGTAGTTCGTCCTCGTCTCCATCTGGCGAAGGAGGCTCCGATACCTCTTGTATTGTCTCGGAGCTCGTCGCATGCGTAACTTCGTCATCGTCGTCCTCCTCGTTGTCCGAAATAGCGGTTTCCCGTGCGAGAGCTGACGACTGGGACCGTTGCCGTGAGAGAAAAGCCGGACTGTGACCCGTCTTCTTGTCGGACAGTAGGTACGAGGCGAGTTCGGCCGTATCTTCGCGCACGCTGCGGGCGAACTGGGCGCTGTCGACGGGGGCTAAAGATAGCATGTTAGCAGGTTGTGCGTCCTGCATGACGTATGCGCCAACTACGGAATGCTTGCCTAGGTGGTCCCTCACGTTGCCGTGGATGAAGGAACGGATCGGCTCTCGGTGACTTGAGCTCACGGAAGAGGATAGTAGAGTTCTCGAATCGGGAGCATTCTGTGAGTTCCGGCCGGGACTGAGGAGCGGGTTTTCCGGGTTAATCTCTGCACTGTTCCTCTGGGATCTCTGGGAGCTCAAGGAAGCGGCTCTTCTCCTCCATGGAGAGAAACCGGCAAAGTTGGGAGAAGACATGGCCAAGGTAACTAGCTAGCTGGGTGACTGGGTATGTTAACAGTTGGTGTTTGAGCACCGAGGATCACCGTTGCACCTCTTGAAGGCGCCAATTGTCAGGGTGCCAGGCCGATGGTGCGGCTGTTCTTGCAGGTTCTACGTCGTGGAAAACATGAGAAGCTGAGCTGGGGTGTGCGCGAGAGGAGAGAAATGTGTGGTGGGTGTCGGCGCAGATAAGAGATGGGAAAGTGTAGTACTCCGTAGGAGATAACAGACAGACGGGGCCAGATCTACGGGCAGAGCCAGGATGGCCCGTGTAAGCCGTTCTGGTTTCTGGGTCGTGAGCGGAAAGGCTGCAAAGGCTAATAAAGCCAAAGAAGGGTTGGATGGAGAAAGATGGAAGAAGAGCACGAACCTGGATAAAGGGAACTACCAAGTGGGTGGACGGGCTGGTTTAGAGCAGACGGGACGGAGATGGAAAGCGTGGAGACCGTGGAGAGCGAGAAAGCCACCTGAGAGGTAAGTTAAAGGTAAGACGTGAGCAAGTAGTGGAAGTGTACCAGAGAATTGGACGAGGTTCAAGAGGTTGTCGTCAACATGGCAAGGCATAGCGCGCGCAACGCAACAGCATGCAGAACGACGCAGCACGCAGCACGTAGCACGCAGAATTAGACGAACGACAAACCTTGATCCAGGTCAAATTTGCATTTTGCATGTGGCCCCTCGCCCCTCAGTAGCGTGCCTCCTACGGCATGCTACCACTTTTACTGCATGGGAGGCACGCAAGTGCTGGGTCCAACTCACCCAACTCGCCCAAGCTTGCCGAGTTCCCTCTGTACCTCAGGAGGTACTTCAGTCGAGGTACCTACCGGCTAGGCTGTTCCTGACGGGAGATGCTTGTCCCTCTCTTTACGGCTAGCCAGCGCAAATCCTCGTGGTATCTTGGTGCGGGCATTCCGTAGCCCATCGCAGTCCGGGTTGCCGTAACCACCGCACTCTTTATCTTGTTAGTTCATGAACTACGAAGACCTACGCAGTCACGGCAGTATGTCAGTAGGTGCATCCATCTCGCTGACTGCCCGCGGATGGGTGCCGATGGCGCTCGACTCTCGAGTTGCACTACGTAACGCCCGCGAATGATCCCTGCACCTACAGCACGGCGACCCCTCCAGTGAGCCACTTACAGCCGCTGCAAGGCAAATGGAATGGCGAAATGGGTACCGAGTGCCTTAGAAAGTATTCCGTCCCGCTCAATGAATGGTTGGACTGGAAGCACGGCAGACCAATTGGGCTGCCCACCCTCTCAAAAGTCGGCTCCCCCACTTCGGATCCAAGGATTTTTTTTCCTTCCTCCTGGGCTTCGGCGGCCGGGGCCACTCTCTGCACACCCTCACTTCTTTCTCCCTCCATCGTGGGTCGTGGTGTGGTACCTAACCTGTGCCTGTATATCCGTACCCTCCGCTCTCCACGACTTCCCAACAACAAGCCAAGCATCAGGCTCTGGATCGTGGGCTATCCAGTGGGCCGTGGGCCGCAGGCAGCATACGGAGGGGAACGGAGGCCAGACGCCCGCACCGTCGAGCGGGTATCCCGCTCTGTCTGGTGTATCAAGATTCAAGAGTGACCATATCCCAGCCCAAGCTCACGTCTGAAAGAGCCAATGCAATGCATCGTCAAACTCTGCTTCATTCACAACTCTCGCGTGGGGTAATACGGCATGTCAATTGGAGAATTTGGCGTCAATTGCTCGTCATCGTCTCCCTTCAATGGCTCGACGTGTTCTGCAACGCTGCAAGACGTACTAATAAGCTAAGGTCACAATCAGCAGACTAATACCTTTGAACCGCTGTCTCCTACTTCGGCCTACATCGGCCCTCCCCTGCTAAGTTGCTTAGGTATACCGTGAGTATACCTAGTCACCTCATGTCCGGGACTACAGGTCGACCGTCGACCAACAGCGACTATGATGCGGCGCATGATGCAATGCAGCGCACAAGGCCATGCCTGTGCTGTGCAACTGAGCTGTTTTGCCCACAACCGACTGGCTACCCATATTGCGGCTCCGGCTCGTTAGATGGCGGCCCTGCTTTGGATTCGCCTCAAGAGACGCCCAAGGTCGTAGACATGTCTGAGGTTTCAATGCAGCCCGATCTTCCAATGTCGCTATCGCTTTTCGTTCTCCTCATCCGCCGCCGATATCGCGACATCTGATGTTCATTCCCCGCGCGCCACCACAACTGGTCCAAGCTGCCGCACACTGGCTTGTTATTGAGGTGGCCCAAGAAGTCGACGTGCACGTTTGCCTGCCACATGCGAGACATATTCCCCAATTCTCCCCTCATCGCTGACAACCCAAAAGCAAGGAGCCCGTTACAGACTCAGTCAGCTCAGCAACCCTAGATATGCCGCATGCCATCTTGGCCCCGGATTCCGTTACTTGAACCTCCATCAGACCCTTTTTGCGGGCCTCATTGTGTTGTTGCTACCTTGGCAAGAAATCAGTCGCCTGTACCGCTTGGTCTCTTCTCGCGAGCCCGGTCGCTCACAGCCCCTTGAAACTGCATGAGTGCACCCCGCGTACCCCGCGAATTGCCAGCAGAATACTGCTCACATGTCGAGCTGCTCGCATCATCTTGACGCATCGCACCAGGTTGCTTTTTGTCGGCAATGGCGCCCCGCCTTGCTTTCGACGAGAATATCGAATCTGATCATCCGTGCAAGGGTTTTGTCAAGGCAGCCGTACATCCGTACCACTCGAGCTCCACAGATTTCCAAGAATGGTAGAAATGAAGATACATTCCTCTTAGTATCGTTATCTTGAGACTCCGAGGTTAACCAGCCAGATCGAGGTCGTTCATGAGCATCAGCTGAGTTTTTGGAGATAACCCTGTGCTATCAGCCGTTCCACGTCGCCCTGTCTGACATAGAACTGACTGTTCTTGGTCAAGTTGATGGCGCTAGATCCTCGGCGTTAGACGTAATCCTTATCTGCGGCTTGAGAGGTTTAAACTCACCCGTATTCAGTCTGGATCTCTCCTGCATCCTTCAAGACTCTCACGTCAATGAAAAGGTCTCGCGGCGGCTCCAAGCTGCCCGTAAGATCAATGTCCGTCCATTGCCCCTTGTAGGCAGCCAGCAGATCACCGTATTGCCTCACATACTCCTCCTCTTGCGGACTTAGACTGCTCGTAGGACCGTCGGCGTTGCCATTAGGACCTCCCGTTGATGTACCCGCATTGCCTCGTACTTGTTGCCCGGCCAAATCAAGCACATCGACTCCTTTCCATGCCAGCTCTTCCAGTTTATCTGTCCGAGTTCGGTGGTATGCGAGAACGCATCGCTTGTTCCTTCGCATGGAGAGATAGTTGACGAGGACTGTGCAGGCTGTTGCTTGGTTGGTGGCTGGGTCGAAGGAGCCCTGAAAAGGCTCAAGAACCTCCGTCACATCTTTTTCGAGGTCTCGAACTTCGCGCGTAACGGCGCGCACTATCTCGGCTTGGTACGCTGGTAAATGCGAAAGGTTTTGGGTTCGTTTAGCATGTTGCACCTGGCGAACGCGTTAGCTTTTTACAACTGCGTGACGAAAGGCTGTCTCTGAGCCTGGTCATACCAACTTATTGCCCAAGTCGCCGTACATCTTGACAGAATGTATTTCAGGCTGGGCAAGCGAATGTGGTCTGGTTGTGTTGCTGCGGCTGGCGCGTCTCGTGTCGACGTTCGCGTTGCAAGCTTGAAGCTGGCGGGTTCGCAGGCACGGTTCACAAGCTACTCCAGTCGCGTTGCATTGGCTTGCTTACCCTTCCGGGAGGGCCCTCGATGGAAGCGAAGAATTGCCCCTCACTTAGCGCCGCCCCACTTTGATACACATTTCACCTTTTTTGGATTTTGACTGGGCGAGAGCTAAGAGTCATCAAGGTCGAAAGGTGCCAGTCCGACCCCTCATTCATGATTCAAAATTCGAGACGCAGAGATACTAGGAATTGAAACCGAGATGTTGTATTCTTCAAAAGGTTTTTCATAACCTCATTTGTATTCATAAAAGGCCTTGAGCCCGCACTCTTTGTGCGACAAAGGACGCTGCCTTTGTTGGTGCTAGAAACTGTTGTGTTTCCTGAGCCATAACCTTTCTTGTGAGGATTCTATGGATTTTTTTTCATGTCTCCACCATCATGCCTCGTGAAATCATCCCTCCCGTTCATCATAAAGCCCCTTACAGCTTCTGCATAGCAGCAATGTCCACGGACTGGACGTAGTCCTCAAGCTCGGCAATCTCCTCCTCAAGATCAGACAAGCTGATCTTCTCATCCTCGACAACGAGGTTGATCTGGAGCTTCTTGATACCGAAACCGACGGGAACAAGCTTGGAGGCACCCCAAACGAGACCGTCGTGCTCAATGGCACGGACACCAGCCTCAAGAGCAGCCATGTCAGTCTCGTCATCTGCAGTATAGTCAGTAAAATGTCCTCGATTTATAGTTCGAGCAAGAATCCTTACCCCAAGGCTTGACATCCATAGTGACAACGGACTTGGCAGCGAGCTTGGGCTTGTTGTCCTTCTTCTTCTTGTACTCGGCGAGGCGCTCCTCACGGATGCGAGCAGCCTCAGCGTCCTCCTCCTCGTCGTCAGAGCCGAACAGGTCGACATCATCCTCGTCCTCCTCGGCGGCGGGGGCCTTGGCGGAGTTCACGGGGAGCTCAGTGGCCTCAGGGCCGTAGACGGAGTAGGACTTGGACGCATCACCGGGGAGGGTGGCGAAGTCGCTCTCGTAGGAGGCGATGTGCTTGTACCATCTGGCGGCGTGGGGGTACTTCTCGGCATCAGGAGCGGACTGAAGAGCCTTGAAGGTGGCAACGTCGGCCTGGGAAGGAGTGGAGCTGTGCCGATTGTTAGCGGCGATGTCTTGCCCAAGTTTGCCTTTGTGAGATAAAAGTGAATGGGTAAGGCGGGGGTCAGAGTTGCACGAAGTGCTGGTTTTGTCGTCAAATAGCAGGTCTTGAGGCTGCCTCCGAAACACGGACCAATTTTCCTCATCATGTAATGCCAAAAGGGGTGTCGAAGAAGGATGACTCGGGAGCGGTGAATAGGGAGTTGAAAACTTACCCGACGATGTAGGAGCGGGTGGTGAGCCAGCTGTTCAGCACTGACACGATTGTCAGCCCGTGAAAGAAAGAAGAATCATCGCTGCAGAAACTTACTGGCAGCACCAGCATCAGTGAGAAGGTCGGCGAAGCCCATTTTTGCGTTTTGAAGAGTGTGTAGAGGGAAGGGAAAGGGGTATCTGTGAAAGAAGCAGAAGAAGGAGGATGTGTTGAGGTTTAGGTAGAAATAAGTAAGTGAAGGTGGGGTTGGGAAGGACCAGGTCGAAAATTTTGAGATTGCGGTGCTCTTCACTCAGGTTCTGAGCGGCACGGACCCCACCATCCTGGTTGCCCAGCGCCAGACCCCTCTTCGGAGTAAGGACGGGCCGGGAGAGCAGAGCCCCTGCAGTGGATCCAGCGACAGGTGGGATGAGGTGGATGGATCCGATGCCGCCAACCCACCTCAGGCGGTAGGCAGGGAGCTCCTACGCAATTGCGGTCGATAGCTCCAAACGAGACAAGCTCGACCTTACGCCAATCGCCCTTCTCCAAATCACCATTCAAACGACTACCAATCCGGACTTCAAGACAACAACCTACTATTCCTCACCACCCAAATCCGAATTGAAAACACATCATGTCGTCGTCGATTCTGCCGATAATCACCTTTAAGGCTGGTATCTGTGAGGCAGACGTCAGTGTTGCAGTTCCGCAATCGTTGCAGACCCTGGTTCGCTGACATCTATCATAGACCTCCAGCAAGCCTTACAAGATCAAGCCACAGGCGACACCTGGCTACATCTACCTCTACTCCGAAGATGGTTCGTATAGTCGTTAGCGATTTCTCTTGCAGATGCCTAATAAGTTACAGACTTGATTCACTTCTGCTGGCGAGAGCGCACCGCCACCATGGATAACCCCGATCTCGACCTCGTCATGGTGCCCATGGACGGTGAATTCGTCGCTCACGCTGCCGCCGACCAACCCTCAGCAAAGACCAACGGTCGCGTCTTTGTCCTCAAGTTCGGTTCCTCCTCCCAGAGACACTTCTTCTGGCTCCAGTCCAAGCCTCAGTCGCGCAACGGAGACCCCAGCTGGTTCAGCCCGCGCGACAAGAAGATTGGTGAAATCGTCAATGCGCTTCTCCAGGGCGAGGAGGTCAACGTGAGCCGCGAGCTGGCACAAGTTCGCAACACCGACGACAGGCGAGACGATGACGATGACGAAACGATGGAAGATGCTGAGGGCCAGGGTGACCGGCACGAACAGTCCCAGGGAGGCAGCGGTGGTGCTGGTGCTGGCGCCACGGGAGGCGATATCAGAGAAGAAGGCGAGAATGCCAGAGAAGGTGGAGGTGATGGAGCACGAGCGTAGGTTGCTTCCTCATGCATAGCTCTAGGGTCGTTAGAGTTACGCGGACTGCATGGGCACTGGCGAGGAAAAAGACGGCCCGTCTTATGGCGTCACCTGTACTTTTAGAGCCTTTCAAAAGACAAAAGGGTTCGGAGTTTTGGCTTTTCAGCGCAGTGCCCATGGCTTGACTTTTCCATTATATGCTCTTGTGCTAACCGCTTCATAGTGCCGCTGGTGGCTCCAACACTGACGCGGATGCTGCCGTTCGAAACTTCCTGGCATCATTGCAAGGCAACGCCAACTTGAGTGCATCACAGCAAAGTGGGCAGCAGCAACATGCAGACAAGCCTTTCCCATACCTCAGCCACCTCCTTCCGAACGAGATCACCATTCCAATGCTTCGATCGGCGTCGGAGGAGTACATAGACAGCCTTTTGAGCTTTCTGCCCCCGGCAATCGTCGTGCTTGCCACGGAGGCAGACGACCTGGGTGACTCTGAGCCCACAGCAGACGCTGCTGCTGCTGCCACAGCCACTTTGAGCCTTGCAGAGAAGAAGAATCTGCTGGAGAGAGTGCTCAGAAGTCCCCAGTTCCACCAGGCACTTGGAAGCCTGACCATGGCGCTGCGCGATGGTGGTCTTCCTACAATTGCGGAGGCCCTTAGCGTCAAGGTGCCTAATGGCGGTTATATGAGGGGTGGTGCTATGCCCTGGGGCGGTGGCGAAGCGGTAGAGGCCTTTGTTGAGGGCGTCAAATCAACCGTCAAGGAGAAGAAGCAGGGTTAGACGAGGCTTGGATGTTGAAATGATAGAGATCGAAACGATAGACTGCCTGATGATCAGATTCTCGTCTGGCATCTAGCAATGATAACAATGTATCCAGTGAAGACTCTCTAACTTGTGATTTGGCTTAAGTGCAAGATTTTTAGGAGGAACTGGACACAGAACAACAATGAAGATGTCCCGAGCCCAGTTGTTACGTGCGTTTGGCATATTGAAGGGTAAGGAAGTTGATGCACTTCCTTAACAACTAATTGGCACAATTGAGATTCTATAGAGAGACAAAAAACATTCGACATGCCTGTCAGAAGCTACCGTAGGCTAATCTTACCTCGCTCGTGGTATTAATAGTCTTACCCCCGTGTTCATATCCGCATAAGATATTCTTATTAGGCAGGTAGTTCACCCTGATCACTTCTACTCCCAACATATTGGAGAACATGGAAACTGGAGATTCGTAGTGTTGGGTACGTACCGAAGGCTGGGGGGCGACAGGACCCCACATTGACCCCAGTCCCTGCACCGTTGGCCCACTAACGTCACTGGAGAATGCGATCGGAATTCGTGCTGAGATTCAAGCCAAAAGCTGAATACCAATTTCAACCACTTTGAGCATTATCCCAGATCTTCACATAACCTCAAAAAGTTACAACCTGGCGGGACTATTGTCCTGAAGCCCTCAGTTCTCTTTATCACGATGGCGGATCATTTGAAGGACCCCCTGCCGACCTTCGTCGAGGACTTTGGCAGCGACGAGCGCATCTCCTTCTCCAAGCTCGACAACAAATACCTGGCTGTCCTCGACGACGGCACTGAGCTCGAGTTTGACCCGGCGACATCCACATGGGCTGAGGCCGCGGACGAACCCATAGAGCCTCTCGATGACGAAGACGAGACCGCGGCGCAACTGGCAGACCTCTCGAGAGCCGGCGCCGGCCCGAGTTACAGCAATGGAGGCAGCAACAACCCAAGGAAACGGAAGGATTCGCCCACATCAGGAGATGCGGGCGGCGGTGGTGGCAGAAGCGGTGGTGCGGACAGACAACAGAGCGGCGGTGACGGCAATGGTGGTGACGACAACGGCAACGGCAGGGCGCGTCCAGCAAAGAAGGCTAAACCGGCGCGCGCACCGCCGCCGCCGCGCCAGAACACAGCAGTCTACGTCACGGGTCTGCCCGCCGATGCGACGGCGGACGAGGTCCACGACCTCTTCTCCCGAAAAGCCGGCGTGATTGCCGAGGAGATTGACAGCGGCCGGCCGCGCATCAAGATGTATACGGACGAGGCCGGCAACTTCAAGGGCGACGCGCTCGTCGTCTTCTTCAAGCCACAGAGCGTCGAGATGGCTATCATGCTTCTGGATGACACAGAGTTCCGCTTCGAGCCGGGTCCGGCAGGGGCAACACCCAGGATGAAGGTCCAGGCTGCCGACTCGAGCTACAAGAAGACAAAGTACGATGAGGACACGAATGGCGCGGAAGGGGGGGATAGGAAAGGGGGAGACGCTGCCGCCGCCCGGCCACAGCGGAGCACGAACAACGGGGACAAGCAAAAGATTATCCGCAAGACGCAAAAGATGGCCGCGAAGCTGGCGGACTGGAGCGACGACGACGTGGCAGCGGCGCCGGTGGAGAGCACCTCGAAGCGGAACCGGACGGTGATCCTGCGGCACATGTTCACGCTGGCGG